TTTCATTAAGAAAAGACTTTTGTCGCTAAAGTTTCGTGGGAACGAAGTTACGAAAAATCAAGTAACGAACGGAGACGTAACAATAAGAAATAAAATATGAAGTTTTTCCTTAAGAAACATTTGATAACTATCTGGACATTATAATGATCTTAAAATGAAAATTACTTTGCATGATAGATAGGCAGCATGTGAAAAGAAAAAAAAAGGCATGAGAAAAACATTGCTTTACAAACCTTAAACCTTAATAAAAAAAATTATATTTTGCATATGAAAGCATTGTAATGTTTACTGATAATCTGTCAAATTTCGTTAACATTTGCTTATGAATTTAAAATCTATAGCATGAAAACTATAACAAACATAAAATGGTTATAAAGTCAGTCCCCTCTCTAATGACCAAATATCTAAGTACCTATGCCACATAACCATGCAAAAAAAACTCAATCACACTGATTTTCCTAAAATAGTTTGCACAGCTACAGTGGTAATATTTATTCCTATACTTATGTTCTAAAATAATCTATTGAAAAACTCCTTTTATTCAAAGCTAGCCCCCCAATTGGAACAGCGGTATGTCTGTAGACTTACAATGCTAGAAATCAGGTTTTGATACCCGTGGTAAACAGAGCACAGATAGCCCATTGTGTAGCTTTGTGCTTAGCTTCAAACGAACAAATGAACAACATTTAAGGCTATAACTGAGTAAATGTGAAAATATATTTTATATAGCATTTTCTTTACATTAAAAGAAACTTCATAAATTTTACATCCTCGTTTAGATTGTATCTTAGATGGCTAAGACAATATTTTCAAGGAGCTACATACCATTTTAATCTTTTTACAAGGATATTCCTTGAGATGATCATCCTTCATTTTTATTTTTTTCCCCTGCTTCCTCCATTGTTTTTCTATTTGTTCATTCAAACACAAGCTGAAACAAACTTCAAAGGTTAACGACATAGACATAACAATACTTTTATTCTCAATTAACTTAAAGAGAAAAAAAAGCAAGAACTAAAATGATGTGACTAGCTCAAAATGACTAATGTAAATGTGTATTTTAATTGGATGTATTTGTTTTAAAACTCAACATAACCATAATTCCCACTATTTGTTTGAAACATTGCACATTTGTTACTGTGTTAAACTGTGTTACTGAGTTCAACCATAAAGGGACTGGTACTGAAAATTCTTAGCCACGAACACTGCAACATCATTACAAACTGATTATGAAAACTTAGGGCTCTACAGGTCACAACAAGAGTACTCTCAAAAATTTGTACACAACTACCAAAATAAACCAAATAAAATGTAATTCTATTTTTTTCTTTAACACATTAATTACTGCAATGCTTGGCATCATGTATGGCTTATATTTCTAACTTAAACAATAGCAATAATAAGAAGTCTTAAATATAATCTTTAGATTTTTGTATTTACGAGACACACGTGCATTGTGAGCACACACAAACGAATGTGCATATGAGCATCCTCGACAGTGAATGCATTAAAGAACATACTTAATACAATAAGCAGTATTAAAATAGAATGGTACTACAACAAGCATATTAAATATGATACAGAATTAAAGTTAAAATGAGTATTTTTCCAACATTTTGACATAAAGTATTTAACAAAACCAAAGCTGGAATTTACTAATATTTTTAGAATACTTCTATCTATTTAATAAGGCTGAACACATTTAAAGAATTGCAAAATTATGAAAGTACCATACAATTTTGACTAGAGAATTACGAGTATGGTACATATGGACCTATGTAACTTTTTAAATGACTTATACAAAAAAATTGCTTTGTTAGTTACAGGGTTCCTAATAATATATGAATTACACAGAATCATAAAAAAATACCATCAGTACTAAGATAATTTCAACTAATTAATCCTTTGGTTTCTTATGTATTTTATACAGAAAAAAGTGTGTGATTTCACCAAATGTTTTTGGTCAGTTCTTTACACTGAGCACTGTAGCAGGCAAAAATATATGATTATTCAATATGATGGAACAAGTGCACTTCACCAGTACTGAACGGTATACAAAATAGTTGGTTATTTGAGAGTTAAAAGCACCTGAGGCTCTAATAAGATTTTTTTTTAAAAGATGAATGAAATTGCAAAAGCACATATAAAGAGACAATATCAATAATGAATAATCCATTCCAGCTATGTAAAGTGGAAAAAAACAAACAATTACAAAAAATTTTTTTAATTGAACTTATGATTACAAAAGTGAGATAAATTTACATTTACCATTTATAATTTTTTATCATTTATACTTTTGATTTTCAATAAAAAATATCCCCCAAACAAGGAACCACAAGTAATTTCTAGTGTAAATCATATCATGTTCATAAGTAATAAAGAGCTACAGATAAATTACCCTATAATAGATTTTTAAGAAATATAAATTAACAACAATTTATTAATTATGAAAAATAATCATAACTCCATGACAAACCTTGCTTTGGCCCGTGCTTTAGGCCCCCAATGAGGTTCTGGATTGACCTGGAAACGTAAGAGACTTTGTTGTCTTGAGATAGGGTTTGCATCATGTCTGACTTTAAAGGAGACTTTAATGCTGTGATAAATTATAAAATAAAAATACAGTAAGTGCAAAGGAAATGTTTCAAACTGAAATTCAGGTACTATTAAGAAAAAGCAAAGCATAATGATACAATTTTAGTAACTTTAGGTGAATGCTTATGTCAATGTAGGATGACATAACTAAATTGCAAGATGAAACTGGACATAAACAATGCAGTAATCTTGTAATTTACTGGGATGACAGAACTGAATTAAAAGGTAGAATGGGGCATAAAAAATGCAGTAATGTAACTTATTTGGCTAAGGACAGCAAGAATAAAACTTTCAAAGGAATGTACATTTATGAAATGTAGTGAATATACATATAGAGTAGTATCACATTATTTTATGAGCAAAATATAAATACACAATTTAGCTACCTTATTTGCTAATAGGCTATGGCCAATATATATTTTTAAACAGTTTTATGTATAATTGGCAATGAAAACTGAAAAAATATCAAAAATTACTGGAACTAACAGTAAGAACAGATTCATAATCAATTTATAAATTTCATTTATTTAAAAATTGATTATAGATTAACTCTTTCAGCATGGGCTCAGTCCCACAGTGAAGATAATAATTTCCCTTGGTACTGTAAACAAGATAATTCATACAGATTTAAGTTTACAATAGTAACACAAGAGTGTGTTCATAAGCTTCTCACAAAACTCATGGCTAAATGGAAGACTAACTGGGAGCAAATTCTAGCATGTGACAAATGGAAATAAATCCTCACATTGGATGAAGCATAAATCTACTCAATTGTCTACAAAACTCTGAAAAATTTATTGTCATCCTGATGGTGATATAAAATTTCAAAAATTTACTTTACAAAGCATTTATTGTGGCTGTGTGTTATAGCTAATGGTATGCTAAACATCCAGAGGGTCAAGAAAAATACTGAGGTGACATCAGGATAATGTGCTGGCACTACTGTATCATGAGAATATACCATCTATGCATGGACTGATTACCAATAATTATCTCCTATGGTATTCTGTGCTTTTGGATTACTCATTTGTACATAGTTGAAGGACTTTATAAAGCATGTAAAGAAGAAAGACAACTCTGACCTCATTGTATTGCACAAAACTCTCCTGCAGTGAAAACCAGAGAGCAAAGCAACAATTTATATTTAGGACTACCAAAATATCATCAATGGTAGAAGAAGTAGATGCAAGATCTAAGTAGTCATTCTTGACTTGTTACAACAGATAATCAACACCCCAAACTGCAATGAATTGCTGTGTTTTGGGATTACTTCCAAGTTTCTTCACTACTTTCAATGTGTGTGATTGGTAATTAGTTGTGAAGTAGCCTATTTTTTTGTTTTTTCCTGTCTTTTCCTTGATTTCTAATATAATTAAAAACTATTGTTACTATAGATTATGAATAACTTTCTAAAGTGTGTGTGATTGCACTTATTTTGTATGTTTTTTCAGATCTTGGTATGGTTTTGATACAATATAAGCACATGCATGTGATTATATTGTATCAAAACCATATAGAAATACATATGAAGTTGTATGGATCTTTGTGGTCTCTGTATTTGGTGTATGCAATATGAATAATACTTCATACTGGCACAGTAAAGAACATGTGCCTTTTATGCACATATGATCACTTGAAACACATTTTTGATATGCAAAGAAAACTATATCTTATTATAAAATGGATATTTACAAGTTATTGGTACCTTTTGACTTCACTTAAACAGCAGTGTTTATTTTCTGTGTAGAACTTCATTTTTTGGTAAATTTTTATAATGTATTTTTTTCAGCATAATTTCTAGGCACTAAAACACATTGTTTACAATTTCATGGCAGAATCCTTTGTTTGTGATTTCATATTCATTCATCTTTTTGTAGTACTCAGAAACCAATTGTGCAACATTTTTAAGACTTGATTTTATTTATATAGTTTATTCATCTTGAACCTTGATATATATATATATATATATGTGCATGCAGCACGTACTTTATAGACATTCAATACTCAAAACTTACTTAAGATAAATCTTGGAGCTTCTTCAACAGTCATTGCTTGATTTTGTTGGTTTTATAGGAAAGGGAAACTTCTTATCTAGATG